TCTGTTTTAACCCTGTTTGAAGTAAGACATGACATCATTCAGGGCACTCCTGCAGCCTTAGAGCGTGGTAACAGATGAACACGGTCCAATTTAATCGCAACATTTATTTTCTGAGTAGGGCTGAGCACAAAGGCGTGCTCAGATGGTCCAGTGTCTTTGATGGAGAGAAGAGCGCCCCCTACAGGTGGGCAGGGCCGCCCACAGTCTGGTCCTTTCCATCAGCAACTCGCCCACATCCTACTCTGCCCCTTTCACTCTGTCTGTCCTCAGGAGTGCGGCAGCTCACCCCATCCTCTCGCACACTGGCGGGTGTTGAAGGGTGCTCATCGGTCTCCTCTGGTACCTCAGAGGCCCTGTTCTGTCCCCTTCCCCAGAAGGGCCTCCCATAGTCATGTTGCTATGACGGTGAAATGTCGGTGAAAAGCTCACGTCTTGCTAAGCACAGAGGACTGTTCTACCATGTCAAACCACAGCTCTATCATTCTCTCTTGGGGACTTTCAAATCATGGTTTTCTGCTTTAACAAAGAGCATTGAGAACTCGAATAGGCATGTTTGCTCTCATTGAAGAGTTTGGACAGAAAGTGTCCTCATCAGATGCATCTTTTTAAAAGACGATTCATTAATTTTTATAAAGTTGTTCATGATGTATTGCCTTAAATATTCCAACACCGATCCCACCACCCTTGCGCCTTCCCACAACCATTAATTCCAATTTTCCCAACCACCCCTCAAACCTGCCCCTGGAGCAGACCCAAAATAATTTATTTTATATCCCTTGTTATTGTCACTGTCACTGTCACTGTCCTCCCATTGTTCATCGATTTGCTCCAGTGGGCCCAGTAATGTCTCCATTGTGAGACTTGTTGTTACTGTGTTTGGCTTATCGAATATGTCACAGAGAGCTTGCCAGGCTTTGCCCTGCAGGCGAGGTACTCTCAGTAGCCTGCTGGGCTCTCCGAGAGGGACAGAGGAATCGAACCCGGCTCCCCCAGGCTGGCTGCAAGCAAGGCAAATGCCCTACCGCTGTGCTATCACTCCAGCCCCTTGTTATAATTCACTAAAAATGATCAAAAACTATTTCCTTAGAAGGAGGTGTGTGAATATTGTTGTCTCACCATGGAGCCATTAAGCCCTTGTAAAAGGGCTACTAGCATGTTGTCATCGGTTGAGCCTTGTGTATTTAGAGTTTCTTAATCAAGGCTGGTTGCCTTCTCCTTCACATCCCATCCAGTGTGGTGTGCTATTCCCAGTTTGTCAGTGGTGTAGAGTTTGAAATGTGGCATGACTGCACTCTCTCTGGGAAATCAAAAGTTTTGAATGAGGTGACACAGCTGGAGTTAAATTTTTAACTGCATGGTGACTTTGGGTGGCCCAGGTAACAGAGCCTGGCATGGGGTCTGGAAGCATCTGTACAACTTTTTTTTATCCCTTTCGAGGTTTATTTATGAGTCTCTGGCTCACGGCTGTTAATGAGCTTATTTGGCTCCAGAGGCAGTTCGTGGGCATGACTGCCAGGCTTCTGGAAGAACAGGGAGGTGGGGGAGGTTTCCCACCCCGATTCCATGAGAGCCTGGAGATTTGTCACAAAACCCGCATACCTGAGTGTTTCAACAGATCAGTTTCTGGATGAGGCTCATCCTGAGCAGTGGGGTCTTGCCATGAGCTTGGTGAAGATCGAAGAGTGTGGAGGTTTTTGACTGTCGGGGCTCTGTTTGGGCAAGTGGTTGGCTCACCCGCCCCCTTCCTGGGTTCCCCTGATGAGTCAGCCTGGCACAGCGCCTGGGATACATCCTTATGTTTAGAAGATCCAGTTGGGGTTGGATGACCCAAAGATGCCAGTATTCTCATAGTAACTTCCCAGCCCAGGAGAAAGTGGTCTTTGACAAGGAACTCCACAGCAGACCCTCCTGCTTGGCTCACATCCCGGTCTCCAGAGGGAGGCCAATGCCATGCCCAAGGACGGACCCCAGCCCAGGGATGGGAACTGGCATTATTATCCCGCTTTTGCTGGCAAAGTTCCAGTTTTTCATGCTAAAGGCTGCCAGGATGTCTGAAATGACTTTCCCCCAATTCCTTGAGAGCTTCCGCATCTTCTCTCATATTCATTGGACGTTCTTTTCCATTCTTATTTTTGGCCATTTTCTATTATATTTCCAGCCCGGGACTTCGTGCCAGGGCTGTTTTCACTCGGGGCACCCCAGAGTGGGGCAGGTAAGAGCCCTCCCCACCCCAAGGGACCCAGCTCTGGCAGCCAACCTCCACTGCCCAGCTGCCGTCACACTCCAGGCTGCTTTCCGAACTGCGCGGCCACTTTGCATATCATAAGACACTTCCTACCCATTTTCCATGATTGCCACACCATATTTGATGGGGCTCAGACACTAGCACTATAGCACTGTCCTCAAGCAAATCATTGATTTGCTCAAGCGGGCACCAGTAACACTGTGAGACTTGTTACTGTGTTTAGCACATTAAATATGTCACGGTTAGCTGGTCAGGCTTTGCCGTGCGGGCAAGATACTCTTGGTAGCTTGTTGGGCTATCTGAGAGAGGTGGAGGAATCGAATTGGGGTCGGCCGGATCGGCCATGTGCAAGGCAAACACCCTACCTGCTGTGCTATCGCTCCAGATATATATATCGGAGAGCCCAGGAAGCTACCGAGAGCTTCTTGCCTATACGTGCAGAGCCTGGCAAGCTCCCCGTGATGTATAGTATATGCCAAAAACAGTAACAATACCGGGTCTCATTCCCCTGACCCTGAAAGAGTCTCCAATCATTGGAAAAAATGAGAAAGGAGAGGCTGCTAAAATCTCAGGGCTGGGGCGAATAGAGACGTTACTGGCGCCCGCTCAAGTAAATCGAAGAACAATGGGATGACACTGATACAGTGATTTCCAGATTTAAAGATTGATTTATAGGAATCGTTTGTAAAGTTCAGCTGAGGTCCGGTCTCCGTGCTGGGAGACCTCTGTGCCTCCTACACTTTTATTGGTATTCCTGCATGTCCTGTGTGGACCTACGGGCACTGCCCTTCGGAGTACTGGTCAGGCCAGCTGTGCTGCTTCCCCAGGTTGCTTTGTGGGTTCGGTTTCCTGCCCTTGCCCTGGGAGGGTCACTCTGGTGCTTGTCTGATGCTTCAGGCATTGCCACTCTCGAGAGAGGGTCAGATTCAGCTGTGACCCAGGTGTCCCCGTGGCATCGTGTGGTGATGGTGAAAATGTTTTGTCACATTATGCTGGTGACCTCCATTCATCTGAGTCCAGCCCAAGTGAAGCCCCATCTCAGTCACTGCATCCTCAGCGCTGTTGGAGGTCTGCCATGCGGGCGTGTTCCTGGAGTTTTGTGGGAAGCCTGTACACACGTGTCCATGTCCTCGGCAGCAGAGCATGTGGACCTGGGAGGTTATTGTTGCCCCTTCTAAGTGCCATTGTTTGATCGGGCCCTCCTCCAGGCTGGCCTCCGGCAATGCCTTTTGAGGGAGACTCATTGATGAAATCTCCCAATTTGTGTTCAAGAGATCTCGCTCAACTTTGCTCAGTGAGGTTCATGCCATCATCTAGTGGGTTTGGTTTTAATAAAAAAAAAATCATTGTTTTTATTAAAATATTTCCAATATTTTTGGAAATAATAATAAATAAAGGGATATACACCATAGCCTTTCAGTATCTGTCCTGCATATCACAATGCTCAAAGGGGGGGGCGGGGGAGAAAAGCGCCTGTCAGAGAGGCAGGTAGGGGTTGGGGGTGGGGGGTGATGGGAGGGAACCTGGGGACACTGGTGCTGGGAAATGTGTTCTGGTGGAGGGATGGGTGTTGGAACACTGTAGGACTGAAACTCAATCGTAAACAGTTTTATAAGGCTCCATCTCACAGTGATTCAATTAAAAAAACGAAAAGAAAAGAAAAATTTTCCCACCAGCATTCTAAATAACTTCAACACTGGGAAACTTTGTAAATAAATCGGAAAAACAGTCTTGTCTCTCAACAAGCTTCAGGTCATTTGCCAGCGTGCTCTTTCTTGTCCCTGCCTTGATGATGCCTGAGCTAAGTGTTTGCACAAAGCCTTCTCCTTAACTGTGGGGAAACCTGGTGTGTGTGGGGGGGAGGGAGGCTCCTCTCCTCGGGCGGGGTCTGTCTCCAGCATGCCAGGCCGCCCCCTCCTCACCCAGCACAGACTCTCCTGCACATCGTAGCCCCCAGCCCTCTCTGGAACCTCCCAAACTTGTCGTCTTTGAAGATATAGGCCTGTTCTCTTGTCACAGAGGAAGTTAAGTTTAGCTGATATCTATTCGTGACCTAGAAGCCCTTCTCTAATTTAGTTTTTCCTTTTTAAAAATTATAATGTAGGGAGCTGGAGCAATAGCACAGCGGGTAGGGCATTTACCTTGCGCACGGCTGACCTGGGTTCGATTTCCAGCATCCCATATGGTCCCTCGAGCACCGCCAGGAGTAATTCCTGAGTGCAGAGTCAGGTGTAATCCCTGTGCATCACAGGGTGTGACCAAAAAAAAAAAGAGCAAAAAATATATATATAATGTAGCAAAATTCCGTGGAAACTCCAAAGAACTAAATATACTGATGAGAGTTACCATGGTGATCACCATACCCACTGAAACGTTCCTGTTCTTCCAAGACAGTTGTAAATTCTCCGTGTCTCTGCACAGTCACCTTCTCTTCAGAGCAAACTCCTGGTGCTCTTCTGCCACTAAGCTGCAAAGTTGTTGAAATTGTGCAGAAGGTCTCCAGGCTCGAGCAGCCCTGGAGCAGGGAATTGGGTGCATTGTTCTTCTGAAAGACAGGAGAGTAAGGTCAAGCAGGGTTGACCATAGGTTGGAAATAGACGCCCTCTTCCCTCACCAGGATGTGGCGGGAAGGCGTGTTGCAGATGTCAAATAGCTTCTAAAGAGAGCGTGAGCAGACTTCTGCGAGCCGGAGCCGGGTCCTCGCTGGCAGGCCGGACTCAGGGCATCTGTCTGTCTGTCTGCCTGTCTCCTGTAGGCCTCCCAGCTGTACAGAAGCGACTCGGGGAGGGTCTGCTCCTCGCTACCCCCCCACATCTTCTCGTGTGCCGAGAGAGCGTTCCACCAGCTGTTCCAGGAGCGGAGGGCCCAGTGCTTCGTGCTCAGGTGAGCGGGGTGGACAGGGCGGAGACAGGGCCTCCTCCTGGGTCTCCTTCCTGCAGCCCTCAGCAGCTCACATGCCCGCAAGAGGCCCTTGAGTGGCCAGAGGGCGGAGAGCTCAGTAGAAACAGCCGTAGGGTGGCTGGACCAGCCCCAACAGACGAGGCCCGAGAGTCACCACCCAGCAGGTGCACGGCTGAGAGCTGGTGGCTGCTGCTGAGGGAGGCAGGGGAGGGAGAGGCGGGCTCAGCAGGGCCCTGCAGGCTCCCCCCCCACACACACACACCAGGGCTGGCCCCACCCATGCTAGGATTCGTTTCTGCTCCCACCTGCACCAAAGTGATGCCCCCAAAGTGATGCTTGATTGAAGCGTAATGGCAGCACCGGCCGCCGACGGCCAGGGCTCTCGGGGGGGGCTGACACTGGACCCGAGACCCCTTCCTTGAGGAGGGGAAGGTGTGCACGGGAAGAGAATGGCAGAGACAGTGTGCTCCCAGCGGGGCACCTAGTCGCTGCCCTGAAATACATCTGTGATGACCAGAACTTTTGACTGGGGGTGGGAGGGATTGGGGCCCATTTCTGGTGGTGTTTGGGGACTGCTCCTGGCTCAGTGCTCGAGGGACCATGCAGGGCTCGAGACTGAAGCCCGGCCTCCCGCATGTGTCAGCATGGTCCCGCTGGCAACATGCTGCAGACCAGTGTACCCGGCAGCCTGTGCCCCAGGCCCTGCCCCTGTGCCTCTGACCCCTGCCTAGTCACTGACCTGTCCCTTGTCCTGTCCCGCAGCGGAGAGCGTGGCTCAGGCAAGTCTGAGGCGTGCGGCCACCTCCTGAGGCAGCTGACCTGCAGGGCGGGACCCAGCGCCTGGGACAGCCGGTTCGAGCACGTGAGTAGCAGCAGTGCATGTTGGGACGGGCAGAACAGGTCGCTCTGCTGGGTGGGTGGATGCAGGCAGGGGTGGGGGGTTGTTGCTGGGATAGTTGGAGCGTGTGGCAGGGACCGTGGACCAGGGGTGGAGTGGGCGGGACCCTCCTTGCCCTGCCTGAAGGATCGCCCGATGGACCCGGGAGGGGCAGAGCCTGGCCCCAAGCCCCTGGGCTGCCCCTGCCCTGCACCTGCCCCACCCCCCGCCCCCGCCAGCCCCTGGGGACGTGTTGGCTGCTGGCACCTGGGCCATTCCCAGAAAAGACACCACTGAACAGCTTCTGCCCTGAAAATCTAGAAACATGCTGCCCAAGGATTCGGAGGACACGCTCGCTCACTGCCAGCCTTTCTTCTCTCTCTCTCTCTCTCTCTCTCTCTCTCTCTCTCTCTCTCTCTCTCTCTCTCTCCTCCCTTTCTTCCTCACTCCTTTTTGGTCTTCCTCTCACTGCCGGTGTTTCCATGGAATAATCTGGAAGCTTTACCTTGGCCTCATCATTTAGAAATGAGACCTTACCATGTGATGAATGGATAGGCAAACGCTGTGTTCTGCTTAGGAATGAGGTGTCTTCTTCAGCCATGAGTCTGCTCTCGGGCTTCCCAGGGCTGGGTGTGGGTTTTCTATGGATGAGACTGTGCGATAAGTGAGCCCGCATCGCCTAGACTCAAAACTGTCATCATAGGGATTGACCGCCCATGGCCGCTCAGAATAATTCAGTGTTTTGGGTCAACCAGAGAAGAACGTCCCGGGCCTCCTTGCCTGGATACTTTGCTGCTGGCCGCCGACACTGAGGGGTTAGAGAATGTCCGAACCGACAGGGTTATCAAACTGACGCAGGCTGAATAATGTGGTGGCAGCATCTAAGGGCTTAATTACAATGACAAGGACTAATCGTTTCCCCTCTGAATTAAAGACGGAACAATCATTTATTAAAAGGATTCTTGGAGAGAGAGCGTGAGCTGGGTAATTTCTAAAATGCTTCATAGGCGACTTGACGTCAGTTGGCTTTGCACTTCAGCCCAAGTGAATGCATTCAAGGTGGCATTTCTTTGGGTCAGAAAGCGTCAACCCCCGCCCCAAACCAGCTAGCACCTGGGAAGACTCTAACGCTGCAAATTTCAGGTGAAACTTTCCTTCCCATCCGCTTGTTTGCCGCGGCCTTTTCTCACAGCTGCTGAGGCCGTCACCAGCCAGTGGCCCAGCCCCAGACTCATCCTTCGCAGCTTCGCACGTGAGTGCTAGTGTGTGGGGGTCCCTGTGTCCCAGCCTACCTGCCCAGGAGGCTGGGGCTGGCCCGGCCCTCCCAGCTGAGCACCCAGTGAACAGGATTGGTACCTCTGGTCAGACTTGGACCAGCTTCCTGCAGGAAGTGAGGACCACCCAGAAGTCTACCCTAGATCCCGGGGACAGCCAGGATGTCCCCCAGAGCTGGGCTCTACAATGCACCTCCCAAAGAGCCCACGGCAGCCCCTCCCCCACCCGTAGGGCACCACCCGCCTCTGCTGTCCACCCACCCTGCTTGGCCATTTCTGTCATCCAATTAGTTATGCAATGGCCAATTAGATCACCAAGATAAAAAGAGTCAGGTCAGGCCATCAGATGGCCCAGAGAAAGGCCAGTGGCCCACCAGGAGGTGCTGGGCCCCTTGACGCTGGGCAGAAAGGGGCCAGCAGGGGAGGGCAGTGAGAGAGGGACTGAGGGGACACCCTTAGGGGTCAGCGCGTGTGGGGCTGAGGCCGCTTAGCACTTGGTGAGAGTGTCCGTGTCCGCAAAGGCTCGTTGCAGATCCCCTCGGTACTCCCCAGGGGCGTGTGTCCAGGGCCGTGGGGCATCCGGGCTGGTCAGGAGCTGGGCTGGTCAGCCCCTTGCTCGGGCTCTGGGGGAGAGGAGGGTCATCGGAGGGCACAAGAGAGCACGAAACACCAGGAGGTGGTGTGGGCACTGTGGGGGGACAGGGCGGGGAGAGACGGGAGGACAGGGCTGGGGGGACATGGCTGGGTGGTCAGGGCAGGGGGACAGGGCTGGGGCTGCCCTAATGGAGGGCAGATCCCGAGTGGGTGACAGCTGCCCTGCGTGCAGACGGCTGCATGCCTGGGGCAGAGTGGGCGCAGAGGGCCCGGGGGACAGAGGCGGGTTCTGGGTGCTAGCTCCTCAGTCAGGGACCCTCCTGTTGTCCATGGGGCTCGGGGCCACCTGTATGTGCCCTTGGCTAAGAGTTTGCCACACCTACACCTGTGGTTCTTTTTCTTAAGAGTATCGCAGGGGTTAGAGAAAGCTCAGGGCATGGAGGAAGCTCAGGGCTGAGGGAAGCCCATGCTTGGCAGGCAGGAAACCCGCAGGTTCCGTCCCCGGCACCCTGGAGCCCTGGCGCGAGGCAGCCCCCAGCTCCCCGGGACTGGCCGGAGTTACTGCTGCAGCCCCCGAACCAGAGGAAGCCGTGTGGGTGTGAGGCTTCCCGGCCACTGCTGGCAGTTCCTGCCCCCCTCCACCACACCCCCTGGCCCTGGTGCCGCCATCTGGATGCCCAAGAGCCCTGAGCCAGGCGACTCGGACCCTGCCCGGGTTCCCAGGCGGGAATCGGGGTTTCCCAGGCCTGGGGGTTATGGGAAAATCAGCCTGCTCAGGAAACAAATCCGGCCGGATTTTCCCCATCCGAGACTCGCCCGGCTCCACAGAGACACCAACCCCACAGTCACCGTGAAATAAACAGCCCGCAGCCTCTGACCATGGGGGGCGGCCTGGAGGCTCCCAAGCTCTGGGGTGGCTCGGGAAACCTTATTTAAAGGCCTTAGTTTGTGCCTTTAATAAAATTTTAAACAGTGTTTAATGAAATTGCATAAATGTTTAAAACGGCACACTATTTAATCATTTCATCACGTATTTATGATCATTTTTTTAAGGAAAAATAGGGCCTTCGTAAATACTAAATTGTTTTTTAGAAAACTTATTTGCTACTATGACTCTTGAGTTCAATGATACGGTCTTTAAAATTAGGTTATAATAAAAATATATGAGTAATAGTTTTTTTTTAGAATTCAGCATATGTTTCTTTCCAAAAGTTCAAATTTCAAAAACCAATTAACGCATCTCACCACTACCAAAATTTCATTCACATTTTTGATGTGTGCTTAGCGCTGGTGTTATTTCATAATCTTTCAACAGAAAGTACTTTAGGGCAGTATGGAATGCGGAAAATTGCAAATTAGAATCCAAGTTAGTTCCTATTTAAATGTAGAAATTCGAAACCAACAAAACCCCTCGCCCCTGAAGCCGTACTCGGGTCTCGTGCTCCCCCTTGAGGCCGCTACAGGGACTGCAGCGCTCCTGCAGCGGCATCTGTGCCCTGTTCCAGCTCAGCCGCCCCATGGCGGGGTTCCAGCAAGCGCGTCCCAGGCCGCGGCATGGAGCAGTCATGTTACTGCCATGTCTGGCCCTGGGGCGGGCAGCCTCGTGGGCAGCGCCACTGTCTCGTGCCCAGAGGCCCTCCTGGCCTCGCTGACCCGGGTCCCTATCCATGACCACAGCCGCGCTCGCCTCTCTGCAGGTTCCAGGCTGCATGGACCACTCAGAGTCAGTGTCTCCATGCGGCTCGGGGCTGCCTGCAGGGCTGGTGGGGTGTAGGCCACACTGGCCTGGTGGCACGGCCATCCTCCCCCGCCACGCTCACTCTCCTGCCCTGCTGGCAAGGCACGGAACTCAGTGGCGTCTCTCTGCAGGCCACGCACATCCTGGAGGCCTTCAGCAATGCCAGGACCACCGCGAACCACTCGGCCAGCTGCTGCATCAAGTACTGGGAGCTCCAGTTCTGCGAGAGGCAGAGGCACGCCACAGGAGGTAAGTGCCACGCTCGCCATGGGGGGTAAGTGCCAGGTTAGCCCAAGGCATGTGTGACTGTGTCTATCTTTGAGCAGGTGTTAGTGTGACCGTGTGTTTGCATGAGCGAGTGTGCATGTATGTGTGAGCAGGTGTATGTGTGAGCAGGTACATGCATGAACAAGCGTGCATATGTGTGTGAATATGCTTATGTGTATATGTGTGAGCAGGTGTGTGCATATATGTGTGAACATGTGTATGTGTAATTGTATCTGTGTGAGCAGGTCTCTGCATCAGCGTGGGACTGTGTATGAGTATATGTGCATGGCCATGTTTATGTGTGAGCTTCTGTATGTGAGTGAGAACAGGTATGTTTACAGTTCCTATGTGTGAGCACATACGTTTGTGCCTGATCATGTGTGTTTATTCATGTAACATGTGTGTGAAAGTATGTGTGTGTATATCTGCATCTGTGTATGCCCATGTAGATTTTGTGCATATGAGAATGTGTTTACATGTTTGAGCATGTAAGTGTGTACACATACGTGATGATGTGCATGTTGGAGCAGATGTATATTGTGTGTGTGCATTTTGTGGGCACACATGTGTCTGAGTGGAGACCCATGTAATGTGCATGTGTGCATTTGAATGGCTATAACTGAGATGGTGGTTTATAAGTTCTGAAGTTGTTTTGAATTGAAAAAAATAGTCTGACATGCAAAGTGAGTCATTTTAAGTGGTTGTAACATAAACCCTATAATATGGACCCAAACCCAAAATAGCATACATGAAACTAATTTGCCAAACATAGAAGCAGACTCAAGGGTTCTATTTAAATAAAGGAAGCTTGGGCATGTAATTTCTTTGTACAGTACTGTTTTTGATGAAATTTGGTCTATATTTTAGATGAATTAATTAAACTGAAACATCAAACCAATCACAAACTAAAAAGAACCTTTTTATCTGATTAAACTATTCCGTGTGTTCTTTATGCAAAGCCCTTATTGAAAATATACCTACTTTGAAGCTTACCGGAAGTTTACACCTTTCTAATTGAAACTATCTGCACAAATTAATTAATAACATTCAGGCGGAGACTCAGATTTCTTTGAACCCTCTTGCTGCAGCCATAAATGCACCAACATTTGCTCGTGCATCCGACTTAAACACAACAATGAGGTGAAACACGCCAGCGTGAAGGTTCCCTGCCATGTGCCCCAGTGCCAGGACCCCTTTGAGGCGAGACGCAGACCCGCTCACAGCCCATAGCTGTTGGGCCGGGCGGGGGGGGGGGGTTCGGGGGTCAGACTGAGCCTAGTGAGTGAGAGGCCACGGTGCTGGGTGAAGTCCTCATGCCTGAGGACGGCCAGGCCCAGAGAGGGCATGTCTCCGGAAACACAGGAGCTAGGCGGGCAGAGGCAGCCGTGCACAGGCCAACAGGCAGCAGACAGTGTTTAGCAGGGAGCAGCCTGTAGCTGGCTCCCGGGATTCCTTACAGTGCAGGGGATGTGGGCAGGAGAGGTGGGCAGCAGGGAACACAGACAGTGCAGGGAAGGGGGGAGGGTCCGAGGCTCTGGTATGGGGGGAGCAGTCGCTTCTTACACCAAAAGCAGAACGGTAAGATGCTGTTATCCAGTGCTGCAGAGCACAGGACCTAAAGGAGGGAGAAAGAGGAGGGAGGGAAGGAGGGAGAGAGGGGGGGGGACGGAGGGAGGGAGGGAAGGAGGGAGGGAGAGGGAGAAGGAGTATCTGCCTTAGAGGCAGGCTGTGGGGCAGCCCAGAGGGAAACTGAGGACACTGGTGCTGGGAAATGTGCACTGGTGAAGGAACGGGTGTTGGAACATTGTATGACTGACAATCCATCATGAACAACACTGTGACAGTGTATCTCACAGTGATTAAAAAAAAATCAAAGATGACTGTTACCATGCTGCCTCAATATAACAATTTTTAAATAAAACGTCATAGTGAAGGTACGGATGAGGGGCTTTAGTTCAGAAGTATGCACCCATAGGGGCATCCGTGGGAACGAACCCACCCACGGGGCAGGGAATATGGGTACAAGGGAGGTGCAGAGGCAGGGGGAATTCCTCAGATTAAGTGAGGACTGCTTAATAAAGTGAACTGTACACTGCTTAATATCTTTTAGGCCTTAAAATGCCCTAAAAATGAAGCCCTGCTGTTTCTGTTACAAAGAGGCTGACTTGAAAAGAAGTTGCAACACTGTGTCTTGCAGTGAATGCTGTGTATCCTCTCTAGAGGGGAAGCTATGAAGGCCATTTAACAGAATCACTTTCCTTCCTTACCCAGCCAGAGTTTATACATACATGTTAGAGAAGTCCAGACTCATCTCACAACCCCTGGGCCAGAGCAATTTTCTCGTTTTCTCTCTCTTGATGGATGGGCTGTCTGCCGAGGAAAAGCGCGCACTGCACCTCGACAACGGATGTGCACACCGGTGAGTGTATCCTCAGTTCCCACCCCCATTCTACTGCGGTTGTGTTTGATGACTCTCGGGCTCCTCTTGTTTTCCAGAGAGGAAATGGCGACATAGAATAATTGGATAATGTTGAGCTAGAACCATGTATAGAACAGACTCATCAGTCTTTATCTTGAATGTTTATGCAACGTTTTGTATGTGTCTTAACATACACGCGTGTATTTTTAGAATCCATGTGTATGTCACTGTCTGTCACTTTGGGGTATGATGGATGTCGCGTTTATGCAGTTTTAATCCACGTAGGTTCTGAGATGCTGGAAATATCTCTGGTCCCTGTGATGTGTTCACAGTAGATGGGGCTGCACGCCGTGATGAGGGAGGAGTCAGGCCCGGGTCCGGGTCCCTGCTTGGGCAGGAAGCGTGAGGGCACATTGACCACGGATGGCTGGAGGCGTGTTGGACAGAGGCTGACTGGGGGCATCGGGGATGATTTTGGCACCAGACAAACAGCGGGTGGGTAGAACAGAGGGGTGCATTGGTTTAGGGTGTCAGGATACGTCAGCCTAAGGGGTTTGGGGTACACGGACATACGAGGGTTGGGAGCATCATTCAGAGAGTGACCAGTGCCTGCTGGACAGAAGCTGGTGGGAGCGTTTGTCAGAGGGGGGGTGACAAGGGGACTGGAGCCTAAAGATCCAGAACATTCCCCCTCACGGAGCCACAAATGCACCCCAGCATGGGTGAGGCTTTACAAGAGCTGGTGGGCCCAGCCGGGTGGGCGGGACTCGTGCAGGGCAGGGCCTGGCCACCCTCACTGGGCCCTGACAGCAGCAGAGATTCAGTGTAGACTCAGGGTGGATGTCAGAGCGCCTCGCGGGGTCTCTGGTGACCTGGGGCTCCCCTGCATGGCCACATTCTACAGCGCCTTTGAGAAGACACAGAGTTACCCTTGGAGAGCTGCCAGGCATGGGACCTGTCTCATGCACCTGGGGCTGAAGGCCAAAGGGACAGGGGTACAGTAGGAATGGCCGTCAGAGGCCCTGTGAGGTGCAGAAGAGTGTCCTCACTGGCCAGGGCACCATTATCCACCTTCGGTCCATTGCTTAGAAAAAGTTAATTCCACGAGTCTGACCCAAGTTTTGTCACGTTTAAGAAAATGGTTGGGGGCTGGAGCCATAGCACAGCAGGTAGGGTGTTTGCCTTGCACATGGCTGACCCGGGTTTGATTCCCAGCATCCCATAGGGTCCCCCGAGCACTGCCAGGAGTAATTCCTGAGCGCAGAGCCAGGAGGATCCCCTGAGTGTCACCGGATGTGACCCAAAAAGCAAAAAAGAAAATGGTCAAAAGACAAAATTGCTGTTTCCTTATAGTGAAGGGCCACTTCGGGGACTCTGTGCTCCCTAGTGCAGGGGTTCTGAGGAGAAACAGAGGCTCCTCTCAAAGCACTGACAGTAGGACCCAGCCATGTTCCTGGGCAGCGGAAAGTTCATCTCGGGTGCCCTGACGGGTCTGGACCCCAGAGCCCAGAGACTCTCGGGGGCTGCCCTGGTGAGGACTCGGCAAAGGGCCCCCAAGAGGCACACCCTGATCTCTGTGTCACCACGGCCTAGGGACACAGCCGAGGGACATGGCCAAGGGATGTACCAGCCAACACACACACTGTCCCTGGGTTGCCCGCGCTGGGCACGCGGGCACCTGTGGGGCACTGGAGTCTGGCCGGGTCCTTGGGTTCTTGTGCTCTTCCCGGTAGGACCAACGTCAGCTCCCTGCAGACTCGGCTACAAACACGTCTCCACGTGTCTCTAAGTGTACACGGCTGCTTGCACGTGCCAGCCTAGTTCCCGTGTGTGCAGGGGCATGTGTGCCTGGGCTCATGTACATACAGACTCTGAAGGTCAAATGCCATAGTCACATCATGCAAAGACAGAGCTGGGGTTGGTTCTCCCGCTGCAAGGGTCGCTGCTTGGAGGGAGGGAGTGGGGCATGGGCCTGTCTGCCCGGGGACCCTCGGCCTGCCTTTCTCGGGCTGCCTTTCTGTTTTGCAGAAGCGACTTTGGAATCACTGAGACTCTGTGGAAAGTCAGTCGGGGGCTGCCTGTGTGAGGCTGAAACGGAAGGGAAGGGAAGGCTGCAGGATGAATAATTCAGTGTCGGGGAACAAAGACGCTGTTCTCTAGAAATGTACTTTAAAGGTCTGATGGATGCAGACGGCGGGCCCGGCTGGGACACGGGCCACCAGGCCCGAGTCTGGAGCAGGGCAGCTGGCACAGTGTCAGGCAGGACAGAGGGACAGCGAGAGGACAGGACAGTGGACAGTGAGGACCAGACAGCAGGACAGTCACAGGAGAGGGGACAATGCTGGGAGGGACAGGACAGTGGGCAGTGACAGGCCAGGACAGTGGGACAAGTGGTCAAAGACAGGACAGTGGGCAGTGCCAGGACGAGAGTGGACAATAACAGAACAGGAGGACGGGACAGTGTGGGACAGAGGCGGCTGTGGGCATTCTGCAGGGGCCAGGCTCGCCTGCGCCCACCACGTTGTCCCCCATCCCCATCCCTACTCCGTCTCGTGCCTGCTGG